CTGGCTGACACCCTGAACAGGTAACATAAAGAACGAAGCCCAACCGCCAATGCTGAATTGCAGAGACGCCTGGCGTAAAAGAAACACATATTAAAATTCAGAGGAGGCACCTTCATACAAACTAGCGGAGAGCTATCTGCGGCTGCTTTAGTCCTACGTCAGAGACAAAGAACAGGGACTGAAATCGTAGATCCGAAAATGAGGGCGGAATATTGATGTATGCGTTCAGGTATCTATGAAGAAGAGCGTGTCAAGTAAGTACAGATGGGCCCCCAGATTTCCAACTTATTTGCACACGAATTCATAGAGACGTGGGTAGGTTCTGCTGCAGTAAGCGTTGTAAGGCGTTCACTGGCATTTGATTCATTAGGGATAAAAATGCGTTTGAGAATTAGGTGATAAAAAAGAAGAACATGAAGCGGAAGAAGAAAAAGGAGAAAGTCGAAGGCACTCGAGCGTGAATGCAGTTTTCAAGGCATAAATCTGTGATCGCTGGAACAAAAACTCCAATCGCCCGACATCTCGGATGCACTCCCTAGCCCATCACCGGATGAAGTACCAGACATGGAGGAATTGCGACCCAAAAACACCTCACGTACTCCCCTCATGCATTTACAATGATCAATTCGTCGGAATGGGTTGGCCTCGCTCCGAATACTAGTAGTAAATATTGGAGCAGCAATCTACGAAACCAACAGGATCACAGCTACCAATGCAAGTAAAGCGGCTCTAATTTGCAATTGCCCAATTCTAAAACCCCAACACCCGACCCCGCCACTAGCGTTCACACTAAAAACTTACATTCCGCTCGCAGATCGGCCTCGTCGTACTTCCCCGGACCCACTGGGACAACAACGTGACAACTCCACTTACCTAAATACCGCCTTCGAAAACGCCCGCATCATTATCCATTCCGGAAACCTCTTAGTGCTTGCGATCGCTCCCACCACCATCACCACTATCAGAACCCCCGCTCTGATAGCGGTGACGACAATCATCGTTGTCACACCCATGACTGACGAGAAGACACCCGACCTCCTGCAAACCACCACCACCACCACCACCACCACCACCACCACCACCACCACTTCTGTTACCATCAATCCTTCTGGCACTAGAAATGCGGTCTCAATGCCAATCTATCACCTTTATAAGCACACCTTCACACCACGCGTCGAAGTGTGTGGTTACTTGCGTATCCATCGCACAGAGGCTGGTGTAACATTACCCAGAGCTTCAATATGCACCCGTTTCACCCGCCTAAAGCGCTCATTCGGGACACACTACTCACGAACACAAACACTTTCTGTGCCTCCTCGGCCATATATGCCTCCCAGAAGATCCGCAGGCGAACACCCCAAAGCCCTCAGAACGACCAACTCTATGTACACAAACTCCCACACATCACACATTTCATGCTCAGAACATAGGCCTCCAACGCAATTGACTACAACCTAGTGCCCAACCAGCTCGTCTGTGGTCCGTGAAGACGATCTCTTGCAGTCCTGCCAGCTCCAGAAGTCTAATAGACTCTGACGGTCAACTGGTGCACGGTCGGGGCAAGATAGCGTGTTGTCGACGCTGGCGATTCCGTCCCCACTAGCGTTCGTCGTCTCATTCCACACCATAATAAATCTAAGACGCATGAATTTATAACGACGCACCAAAGGTCGTGACTTCGAAGGCTTCCGACTGAAAAGATAAATGGATTCTCTCAGTACGTGAAGTCGGGATGCAATGTCTCCTCCTTAACGAGGCTTTATGGTACTCTCACCCATATGCAATCCGACCGGACTTCTTACATCTCAAATAAATCTTATCCCTCTTGATATAATTCACGCGAATGTCACTGTTATGTATTCACCCTATTCTAAACCACATGCTGGACAGGGTTGCTTCAGGCGGTCGAAATGACGGGCTTGAATTTCGTCAATCATTTGGACTAATGTGTTTGTGGCGGTCCAATATCACGACCGCAATACATTAGTCTATTTCCAGCTTAGATTCTGATCTTACTGGCTCTTATCCTAGATCAATCCCGATGCTATCAATTGTCTTGGAATGACAATGTCGGCAAAGGTGACATGTTAGTTCCCTGACTCTGTCCGCTTGAATAGAAACGAAACGGATGAGCAGTACCAGTCTTTGAGAAAAAGGTCATCTCATTTCTCCCGCCAAATCATATCTTGGAACGAGAATATCTAGATATAACTGTAAACTTCTGCATCTTTGCTCTGGTCTCCAGAAACCTAGTCCTTCCGCTATGTCAGTATTGTACAGAAGATTTCTTTCTTCGAACAGAGGTCAAGTGCATTATTTTGGCCGGCCGGAGAGAAAACTCTACTCAGGCGGATGGATAAAAGTAGTACTGTTGTTGCAGTTTGACTTTTTGTGTCCTTGAAATAGTGTTGCTATGGAAACAGCTGCCGAAGAAAATACAGAGCAAGGCAAGTGCAGGAAGCCTGGATGTCCAGCGACTGCCCCGTCAACCACCACATCAATTTGCCTCCCCCTTATCTGACTTAACGAACCTTTTTAACGGGGGACAGTCACGGCGCGGGACAATCGGGACCGTCAGTCATCTCCGCGGCCGACGAGGGCGATTCATGTCACGATGACACACGGTTTGGAGGCGGCCACACAGGCGGCACTGGCGGGTCACGCATTGAACAACGTGCGCCATATAAGGGGCGCTGTGCGCAGGACTTTCCAGTCTCTGACTATGTATAGACAAATCAACTACTCGAAACGTCGGACCCCCAATATATCCCTCCCGGTGAACGCCTCTTCTTCTTTTGATATGCCACCTGGGAATCGCATTTTCACTACTACTGACACGTTTTTTTGATTTACACGTTATTTTATTTACTCCAGCCGCTGTTTTCGAGCCGTAAAGCAAATTTACCAACAATCTTTATTTATATTGGCTTATATTTACGCAACCATAGGACCCAACAATTAAACGCCTATTACCGCCTTTCCCGTAAGACAGGCTGCTTTGGCTGGTAGTATTATTTTAGGGGTCCTCTCCCGATTGTTACCGGCGCCTGCCTTGAGCTAAAACATTTGTCTCATATGCAAGGAGTCTGCGATTGCTCATTGTTAGGGCACCGCGCGATAATTCAGGATCGGCAGTTAGATCCCATCCTTAGCGATAGGTTTTCAGGAAATGGAGAATAAGTGGTTCCCGTATTTCACCTCTAAATCCGTAATGAACATTTGTTTATAACCGCGGCTCATTAGATTGCGCCTTGCTTCCTATGATCGAGAGCTCTCTTTCAAATGGAAGGCGACCACACATGACCAGTTTCGCAACGTACAAATTTTCAGATAAACATATGAATACGTCCCCCCACCCACCACACACCCAGGTGCTTGGCCCTACTCCATGCTGTGTGGGGAGGCACATAACAGAAGGGCTCGCCGATGATGGAGACAGCAACTGCAGACTGCAGAACCGTCAACAAGGAGCAAACAGTCAGTCAAAACAAACTGCTTTAGTTGTGGCAATATCACATCACGTGCTTAAGGGCGCGCACGTGGCCGCGCGTGATTGAGCCATGCGGCGACATTTTGCTGCATTCTGATTGGTATGCCGGAACCGTCCAATGGACGAAGCGAGCTGTCTTTTGTCTGTGCCATATAAGCAGCCGTGATTGATGCGCGCTCCAAATTCGGTGGTTTTTCAGAGATCGTAAGTTGCCTTTCGGTTGTTCCTTCCCGTCAGCCGTTTTCGTTTGGTTATTTCCTTAGTTTGTCGAATTTTCACATTGCGGTAGGCTTTTATTTCAACCGTACCGTCTCGTAATCTCGACAGATTATTAGTAGTTGTGTAAATCAAGGCAACTGATAGTTTTATTTGTCTCGAAAGTGTTCTAAGAAGCGAAGTAGATAAATTTCGCGATGGCTAGGTGAGGCTTGTTTTGGACAAATTGAAGTGTAGACGTCGGCCAGAATTTGATATGGACAAGGCTTGCCCTTGATAACAAGGCAACGTGACGCTTGCAGTTACTCAACTTGCAAGTGGAGTCCTCAGAATGCTCGCAGGATTCTCCGAACACACACAAACCCACAAACACAAAAACGCACGCACACACACACACGATAGTTCGACCGTCGATTTCGACGATTTCCACCTCAGCAGTGCTGGGAGCAGGGACGGTGGCTTGCGCAGGGGTTTATAGTGCCAGTAGACTTGCGCTGCATCTACCTACAGTCTCTCCTCCTCCCCCGCCTGAGACCCGTGTGCAGACAGAGTCAAGAAGACCGGAGACGAGGGAGCCCGCAGGTGGATGGCTTGGACGGATCCTCACCTTGACATTCCACCACACCCCCTGGTCCACACAACAAATAACCAGGCTTTTCACCAACACAACAGAGATTTGGAGGCTGGCACGGCCGAAGCCGCACCTAGGCGTGCCGCCAACGCCTGGCTCGGATCCCACACTGTGGTAGGAGTGCCATTAAGGCCACATTAAAAAGGAGCCATTGCAGCCTGACTCTCAGACCGCCTCCCGTTAAGGAGGAGGTCCAAGGTACCCCGTCAGTTGGCAACCTTCCAAGCCACGGCTTTTAGCGCACCGTGATAGCTTCAAGCGCGTCAGATTGATTATAGTGAGGAAAAAGTGCGCTGAGTCGTCGACCTCACTCTCCCTTCCCATTCCCACACTCCAGCCGCCGTCCGAGCCGGTGAGCAGACTGAAGTGGGGAATGGGCGCTGTGGCTGACATGGTCGACTGACCATGCCTGCGCGCGCCACAGCACGACCTGGCCCCCCATACACACAAACACCAGGATTTCACACAACGGGGGTTGGACTGTGTGTCTCTCACTTGCGTGAGTGGGCCGTGGAAGGTGCTGCTTCAGCCCGTCCCCAGCCCACCAGTCCGCCACTCCACACAACACACACACACAACGTGACGAACAGCGTGAGCCGAGAGCGGGCGTCGAACATCAACCTTCCTATCCACGACGCTTGACGTGTCGGGATAGTCTCGGACTCAAGTCACCGGTGCAGCCGAAGCCGCATGGGGACCGAGTCGAGAGCACACTTCCCACTTGTGTGAAAGGTGGCGGTTGGTGCATGCGGTGGGTGAGTGTTGATGTGTGTCGTTAATGTTTGAGGAGGGTAGGGATTGTTTGATGTTGTGGTGCAGCCGGCGGTTGTCTGCCGCAGGTCGTCGTGGATGCGCATGTGGCCGAATAGGCCCATACGATGCCTGAAGGTGCGAGGACAGTGTGGGCAGTTGGGTCGAACTTGGTGGGTGTAGGTTGGTGCACCAGGCACTGGTTCGCCAGTCTCTGCGATGGATTCGCAAGTGACCGACCAGTCCGATGCGTGAGGTGAATGTGCGTGGACAGTGTGGGCATGTGAAGGCGGCGGTGTCAGTGTCAGCTATAGAGGAGGCGTTGGTGGTGGTGCAGAGGGATGGTGCGAGTGTGGTGCTGGGCATGACGGGCGTGGTTGGTGTATCGGAATTGTGGTCAATTCCGCTCTCGTGGATGCGCATGTGGCCGAATAGGCCCATGCGATGCGTGAAGGTGCGAGGGCAGTTTGGGCAGTGGAGGCGAGTGCGGTGAGTGTAGGTTGGTGCGCCAGGCACTGGTTCGCCAGTCTCTGTGCGATGGATTCGCAAGTGACCGACCAGGCCGATGCGTGAAGTGAAGGTGCGATCGCAGTGAGGGCAGATGTAGTCCTGACCCTCACGTCTGATGATGGAGGTTGCAGGGGTCGTGCCTGTTGTTGTGTCAGGTGCGGCTGTGGTGAAGTCGTGGGCGACAAACGCCGAGGCGGCCGTCGTTGTGGCAGTGAAGGAGGAAGAGGAGGAGGGAGGGGAGGAGTGAGGGGTGGTTAGGTCGGTGGCGTCGATGTCGGCTGGGGAGTGGTTAGTGGGTGCACAACGTGATGGATTGGGAGTGGGGCTCGGCGGGGTGGGTGTGTCAAGCCTGCGGTCAATTCCGCTCTCGTGGATGCACATGTGTCCGAATAGACCCATGCGATGCTTGAAGGTGCGAGGACATTGTGGGCAGTGGAGGCGAGTGCGGTGGGTGTAGGTTGGTGCTCCAGGCACTGGTTCACCAATCTCTGTGCGATGGATTCGCAAGTGACCGACCAGGCCGATGTGTGAGCTGAAGGTGCGGTCGCAGTGAGGGCAGGTGTAGACCTGATCCTCATCAGTGGTATCGGGAGAGGTGGGGTTGGTGTCGGTTGTTGTGTTGGGGTTGGTGATGTGTGAGACGGCAGTCTGAATGGCGACCACTGGGGCAGTGGAGGAGAAGGAGGAGGATGCAAGTGGTGGTGCAGAAGGAGTGTCAGAGTTAGTTGGCGGCAGAGAGGACGAGGAAGAGGCGGGCTGGGGAACGATGGCTGGAGCAGTTCGAGAGGCACAGTTGGTTCGAAGATGTCCAACAATTCCGATTCGTGCCCGGAATGTCCGTTGACATCGAGGACACGTAGGGAGAGGTTGTGCGGCGGCGTTGCTTATTGGGTGTTGTGATTTGCGGGCTTCGAGTTTCACTTTGGCGGCGGCGATGCGGTTGGTCTCGTAGATAGCAGCGCCCGTCTTCACTGTTCTCCCCCATGTCGGACGATCGCGGGCGAGCTCTTCCCAGTTGGTCGGGTTGATTTGCAGGCGCTTCAGGGAGGACTTCAGGGTATCCTTGTAACGGCGAATTTGGCCTCCTTGACGACGAGAACCCGTCGCGACGTCTCCGTAAAAGAGTCGTTTGGGTAGTCGCTCGTCGTCCATGCGCACCAGGTGGCCACTCCAGTGCAGCTGCATTTGTCTCAGCACGGAGTAGATGCTCAGGATTCCCGTTCGTTCCAGCACATCAGTGTCGGGGATGCGGTCCTGCCAGTTCAGCCTCAGGATGCGACGGAGACAGCCGAGGTGGAAGTGGTTTAGTCGACGTGCCTGCCACGTGTACACCGTCCAGGTCTCCGCTCCGTACAGTAGCGTCGGCAGGATGACGGCCTTGTACATCTTCAGCTTTGTGCTCAGTTGGAGACCATAACGATTCCAAACTGTGCCTTGGAGTCGACCGAAGGCTTGACTGGCTTTCGAGATCCTGTTGGCGACTTTGTCGTCGATCTTGGTGTTGCGGGAGAGGGTGCTGCCCAGGTACGGGAAGTTCTCTACCACTTGCAGTTGAGTCCCATTCACGTTGATTTGCGGCGTGTTGGGGGCTGTGGCTGAGTTGGGTGGCGGTTGGTGCATCACCACCGTCTTCTGCGTGTTAATGACCACACCGAAGTTCTCGCAGGCGGCGGAGAACAGGTCCATGCTGCGTTGCATCTCCTCTTCCGAGGTGGTGTTCAGGACGCAGTCGTCGGCGAAGAGGAGTTCGTGAAAGGTGCTTGTGGATACGCGCGATTGGAAGTGCATCCGCCGTTGATTCAGAAGGTGACCCTCCGTCCTGTAGGCGATGCGGATCCCGGGCATTCTTCGTGGTAGGCGTCCATCAGCATGGCAGAGAACATAAGACTGAAGAGGGTTGGCACCAGCACGCATCCCTGCTTTACTCCGTTGGTCACTGCGAATGCCTCTGAGACAGCTCCGTTGTCCGTGACTCGCGCCATCATACAGTCGTGCAACTGACGCACCATCTGAGTGAATCGCTCCGGACAGCCGGATTTCTGCATGATCTTTCACATTCCTTCACGATTCACCGTGTCGAAGGCTTTCGTCAGGTCCACGAAGTTAGAGTACAGGTGGGTCCGCATCTCCTGACACTTCTCCTGAAGTTGACGGGTGGCGAAGATCATATCCGTGGTCCCACGATAACGACGGAAACCGCATTGGCTTTCCGGCAGAAGGCCCTGTTCCAGCTGATTATTAAGAAGATTTAGGAGGATGCAAGCGAAGATCTTCCCGGCGATGTTCAAAAGCGATGCCCCGGTGATTGTCGCAGAGTTGGCGGTTTTGTTTTTGCTTGTAGAGATGCCCGATGGTTGCGTCTTTGAAATCTTGCGGCACTTCCCCTTGACGCCACATCTCCTGGAAGAGCGCAGTCAGGTGATCCATCAGTAGAGGACCACCTTGCTTGTAGACCTCAGCAGGGATTGCGTCCGATCTGGGTGCCTTCCCGCTGAAGAACAGCTGCACGGCCCTGATGGTTTCCTGGAGAGATGGCGGGAGGTCGAGGTTCACGTTTGTCTCTACTTGCGGCAAGCGGTCGATGGCGGCATTGGAGATGGCGGAGGGGCGGTTGGGGACGTCTCAAAAATGCTCGACCCATCACTCTAGAATTTGTGTCCTCTCAGTCAGGAGGGTGCTACCGTCGGCGCTGAGGAGAGGAGCAGTGCCTTTGGTCTGCGGACCGTAGATAGCTTTGGTCGCGAAGAAGAAGTTCTTCCATTCGTGGCGGTCCGCGTAGCCTTGGATCTCCTCAGCTTTCCGTGCAGTCCAGGCGTCCTGCCTCTCGCGCGGTCGCTGATGCAGTTGCTGTCGCTCCTCCTACTTTCTTCATTTCTCGCACCCATTTAGACTCTTAAGTAATGGTTGATCGCGAGTTCAATCTCTTGCAATTGTGTGATTGACGTTTATCGCCATGCCACTTTTGGTGTAATGCTGGGTTGCTCAGGTATGTATTCAGATACGACAACCGCCGTTTTAGTGTTTACTATCTATCTGCAGCAAACCCTTTCGGAAATGAAGGGGGTGGAGAATTACTCAAGTAAATTCGATTGGAATTGGTATTTGCCATTCTCAGAATTTATATTATACTGAAATTTCAATGAGGTGTATTCAACCGTGATTCTTCCTTACATGCCCTTCATATTCCACCATCTGACAAGCTGAATCATGGCCAGAATAGGCAGAGGTGTACAGATAGGTCTGTCCTGGGTAAAGACAAAACCTGGTGACACTCCAGACGGAGCCATTGAAGTAGAGCCTGGCATCTACGTCTGCCGCGCCCTCTACGAGTGTGAACAAATACCCGGAAAGTACATTCCTGCAATGTGCAAAGCCTTTGTTCCCTACGCTGGCCGTGGACGTTCGGTAAAGGATTGTGAAGTACTCTGTGACACTCGGTGTCGTGGACAGTCTTGCTGGTAAGCAGAGTGACAGAACCATATCCATTTATTGAAGGTTTTCCGTACTACCGCGTACTTAGGACATTTATAATGGCCAGCACTCAGCCTGCTTGTGCCAGTGGTCTCTATCCCGCAGTTAAGGAGACATTTTGTGCGAGTTCAGTTGGGATTTTGGTGGTCATTGGGGTACTCTGATGGGTCGCAATACCAGTGAATCAGTCCACGCAGACATGCAGTCGACATGTGCATAACGATGCTGGCATTGACGCATCAGCTGATGAGACATCCGGGTGGCTGACGCAGGGCTGGATCCTGCAGTGGGTGGTCGTTTGTGAAACTTACATTTCTTTGCTACCGAAATGTATTAAGTAACGCGGATAAACAACGCATGTTTATTTTTGGTGTTTAGGTGTTGTGGCAATTAAATCTAATCCCATCCCTCTTTGTTCCCGCGACTATCTTATTTAATGAATGGGGCAGACTGGAGATAAGAAATCCATCAAAGGCATCAGTAAATGATGCTACTGCGAGACCGACAGAGGACAGACTCCGTTACTGTTCAAAGTGCATTGTCTACTATACTTTGTGACAAATTATTCCTAAATACTTCATTGTGCATTTCACCTTAGCTGTTCAGTCTTCTCTAACGCCAAAGTATTCCCGTACGGCTCCTTATTCCAATAGCTACCAATGGGTTTCAGCTAGTGGAGGCGAGGTTCCGGAGGGAGCTATTGTCGGGGGCATCGCGTCTGATGGACAACCGCTGTACATCGCCAAGGCCTCTATAGAGGAGGAAATCTGTGTAGGCAAGGTGAGTAGAGGTATTTATAAATTTTTTCCCACTGTAGTCTACCCATCATATAGCCGTAAGCCAAAGCGCCTGGCTCTTAGCAGCCCCTTCTTTTATAAATTGTCAACAGTCCGCCTGTGGTATTATTACGAATGGTTTCCACAGATAGGCATGGAGTTTGCTCGATTGGACGGTGAGTAGATCTCAGCAGATGGGCCGTAGTTTCGGCTGCTTGCAATAACGCCTTCGTCAGCCGCAATCTGCATGGACACCTTAAGGGAAGAGCAAGGGAGTGAAGTTATGCTAAAAGCAATCAGAACTGATGACCGATAGGTCGTCTTTGAGTCGGAGTTGCACCAGCTCAAATTAGAAAAATTAAGAACCAAATTAGGTCGACGCACCCCGGTCCTGAGGTTCTACCTTAGCAGATCAAATTACCGGCATGTCTGGTGTAAAGCTCTTCACGTCCACATTAAATCAGTTTGCAGATGGCGACGACGAGTACCTTGTTGCAGACCAGTGACGTTTAATCACTATCACTGAGACCTTTTTTCTTAGAATTCGAGGTTCTCTATATTCGAAAAAAGTACCAAGTACCATTTTTAACAATAATTTTCTGCCCTTCAGGTGCATAGCGGCCACGCCCGGGCCTATATGCCGTCTTTCAGTCGCGAACTCTCGGTTAACGACTATGAAGTCCTAGTTTGGAAGACGGAGTAGAAGATGGCAGCTGCTACCGATCAGGCCTCTTTCACATGCGTCCGAGTCTCCAGACGCTTTTTTGACCAGTTGTCACTGGTAAAATGGATAGGTACAATTTTGTGCACTTTCAAATGCCCATTAAACTGGAAAATATATTTCTTTAATTCAGAAGACGATTTGACGAGCACACGTTGCTTTTGATATATTCTCCTCAGAACAGTACAACTATATGGGAACGGGGTAGAAGCAAAAACATATAAATGATAAGAGCAGTCGGTTAAAGCTCGTATTAAAACACAGGCGGGATGTGGGAATGCGGGGAGGAGGACGGCGTGAGAGCGGAAGCGCGCGGAGTGTTGCGGCATCAGTCGACCTTCGACCACTAAATGTGCGGAGCTTGAAAGTGGTTCGTCTGTGCGCACAAGATTGGATTTGGTAACCCGATGGCGGCCACTTCTGCCATTGCCAACACGATGCACTAACTAAAACCAACTAATGGAGCGCGCAACCGGAAAAACCAAAAAGTAAACGACCGAACACAACGTTGGTTAGTTAAAACAAAACAAAGAGCAAAGTACGGCATGCTAGAACAGCAAAGGAATATGATAATCACAGTGAAAACGCGATAGCAAATTGTGTTTCATTAATGGCATTGCCGACTGACTGTGGTCAGAATCGACCGTTTCTCGTACAGTTTATCAATTATGCAGGTTAATTTATAGGCATATCCTTAGCGCCATATCTAACCAGTTGAATTTTCTGGACGGACCCCTGAAAGCCAAAGTTTGGGCAAGCTGCGTGAAATTTCCAAAACGGGTAACTATATTTTAGCTTACCTCCGGGTACTCCCTCACTCTGAAAATCAGCTCTTAGTAGCTGCTGTGTATGCCGTTTTCGGATCAGACGCCCAAAACATGCACGCAGCTTCAATGCTGGTTTTCGCACTTCAGCGCAGGTGTTAGAGGGCAGTAACCATGCCGACTTTTGAAAAAGAGGACTTAACCTGCGAAAGTAAAGAAGGCCATTCTCCTTTAAAATTATTGCTGTTTTGACGCTTTCCGGTGGCAAAAAATCATGGGTTTTGTCCATTTTAATAAACGCTGACATCAAAACATGTGGGTACATCTTACCTTTTTATAGCAGTCCCTTGCTTAAGAATGCATTTATATTTGATATTTCCCGCATGACCAAGTTTCTTAATGACATCCTCTGAGTTGCTCAGTGACTAGAATTATCACCGAAATATAATTTCACAAAATTTGAAGTGAAGAAAAGTTGTGAAAGCCATTGCGGCTCTCGTGAAAAGGTCTGACCAGTCACTTATCAGCCCTCTGAAACCCGTCCGCATACGGCGTACTTTAAGTACTCACGTTGCCAACAGGCGCTGGCCAAATAGCTTATGCCAGCTCGATGAGACCCCAATAAATCACATGAAAAGCCTTGCTGGGGTCCACACGATGTCCGAAATCGACAATATGCGCGAGAAGAGTGCTGCTTATTATCCTAATTTCGCTTTTCCCCAGCCATGCCGGGAAGTGTTCTTATATTCACTTGGATAGGCGCCGACTCGTGCGACCTATATAACCTGCTCCACAGGAGCAAGTGAATGAATAGATGCAAACTGAGGTGGTCTGACGTGCCAACTTATCCTTACCTTCTCCGCGTAAAATAGGGTTCGTAGAGAATGGCATTCGAACCCTTACTGCTGGGAAGGTTCACGAGACAACTTGATCAAAGTGTCTCCTTAGGAGTTCACTCGCAGCGTTCCCTTGAAAAAGGACTTTAAATAACAAAGTTTTCTCTTCGGCAGTCACTGTGGTGGCAATTATATTTTCAATAAACCTGCCAGGATACTCATTTTCACGAGGAATGTCCTGGATTTTTAAACTCCTCTTCGATGCTATCTGTTGGGCAAAATCTTCTTGCTTTTGGTGCGAAACAGCGGACTAGATTTCACGTTTGTTGGAGGAATACGAAACTGGCAAAATCCAGGCATTGTCCGGACCAGGTTTGTTTCCGATGGACGCTCCTTCTGACGTTACCGTATTTAAAAAACACTAATATCTGTGCACGGCGCCCTATGAACCGTTGGACGGTTTCCGGAAGGAATTTGGAGGAAAGAAAAATCAGCCTTTACTGTTTGCGAAACATAGCATCTGTCGAATTAGAAGATTCTCGCCGGCCACATTGTTGCATAACGAAAACGAGTAGAAATATTTCGGAAAATGAAGGGCAGGGTCCGCGAGGGGGGAAATCTGTAGTTTATAAATGCGAAAAATGAAGAGAATATGATGGAGGGCGGATGCATTATTATACTTACGCATTTCAAACACTTTGTTAATATCATAGTGGGACAATGTGAGCGATGAAGCTCAACGGTAATCTTCATCCTACTCTGCTCGTAACCTTAGGGAGATAAGGACGTGGTTGGTAGTATCACATCAAATGTTGAATTCGACGTGAACTATGAAAGGAATAGCACACAGGACTGCGACATGAATGTTAGCAGTTTCCAATATGATGTCCAGACAACTGGAGGGTGCTGAAGTGTAGTTGCTGACAGTTTTAAGCTGGCCGTCTACGCGTCTCACAACCGTGACTTAACAGCAAGGGGGGGTTTCGTAGGGTCGACTCGGATCTCACACCAGTGAGAGTGGCACGGAGATCACAGTGAGATGGAATAGTGGCATTTTAGTCGCCAGTCTTGTCTACCAGTTGCTGCCATATGACCTCATGGAGCCCGCAAGTGCCCCCGACTTTTCAACCTCACAAGCCACGAGCCTGAGCACGACGTGTATATTTCTTTGAGAGATTAAATGATGCGCCATGAGGAGGGATTACCTAGTATCGGCCTCGTTCTCTCTTACATCGCCTATGCACAAGAATAAGACGTTTCCTCTACACGCGCCATGCACGAACTGGTTGCCGTGACTCCATGAGCTCAGCTTAGATGCCGCTTCAGTGTGAGTGTCACAGAACTTAAATACTTGGAAGCCATTCAGTCTAACTCCCCATCCTTCGGTCAGTCATTTCATACACACAGGACATTTAGAATGTATTGACCGACGATGTCCCCCGTGTGCTTTACAGAAAGGTGAAAGCAGGCGCGATGACTTGCGCGTGAATTAATTTAAAGTGTGTGTGGACCTGCATAACATCTGTCACAATCTTTCCCCCCCCCCCCACCTGTATCCGGTGTCATGACCAAGTCAAGAAGATCGGAGGTGGAGGAAAGACCGTTGGCTGGCACAGGGTACACTCTCTCCTAGGCACGCTACCGCACCTCCTGGTCCACAAAAAAAACACTCGACCAGCATTTTAAACGGCAAGAAGTATGGCGGGCGACTTGGATCTCGACTGACGCGGAGTGAGACTGAAATGTTGTCAATTCCGATAACGCCTGTCGGACTCCGATCTAACTTCCCGCTCCGTCCAGCTCATTTACCTCGGGGCCGCTTTTAGGGGCAATGGAATTACCCACCGCATTCCAGACTGATCATGCCTACACATAACGACATTCCTTCGTGTGCGATTCTATACATTCTACGTTTCTACCTACTTATTTACTATTGTATGCAGTTCATATACTCCAACTCCTCAATTTTATTGTGTTCGGATATGTGAGCTCGGATCAGTGCTCAACGGCTCTGATCAGGCTTTTCTAAGTCGCATGGGTAAGTGAACAGGCCAAAATGATAAGAACACTAATTTAAGTATCACTTTGCAGCCTCGGACTTGCGATTCGTCATGCTGAATAATTTGGAGAAATGATAGGATCCGCTTGTGGACGACCAATGCTAGTAAGCAATTATCAACAGGCTTATCAGTGGCACGGAAAATCGCAATATACAGCCTTGTACTGACTCTGATGTCCTGAAAACGACGATCTCCACCGTGTGTTCCACAGCAGGGTGAGGGTAGGAAATATGACCCGCGCGAGAATGAGTTTAGAGTGGTAGTAGACTTGAACAGAATCTACCACATTTTCTACTCCTTTTCCACACTTGGACTCTGTGTCAAGACATATTCGAGAAAAACTTTGGTTCTGACAGAGTGAAGGTGGCTGTCACGGCTTGAACTGCACCTACGCGTACCAAATCACCGCACCCCCTGGTCCACAACAAACACTCGGCCAAGATTTTAACCAGCACCAAAACAACAAGAAAGACGGTTGGGCGAGCAGTCACACGACCTGTATACCTAGCGGGGTCGTAAGCCCATCCACAGGTAGAGAAGCAGGTGCTGGAGGATTGCCAACGCTCACCAGGCTGCTAGGACCACGGCTTGCTTAATCATGGCATAGCAGACGCATACAATCCGAAAGCCCTAGAAGGGCTATACGCAGCCCATCACTGCCGCAATTCATGACAGTCTGACCTATCGACGTTTGTCAAAACTATCTCAGCACCCTATACAGACCTTCACTGCAGTTGTCCACGGCGCTGCGCTCTAGCGGGCATTTTAAGACCGTTCCAGTTTTCAGGTTCAGTTTGTTTTTTGAGGGGGAAATAGGTGTTGAACCTTTGAACTCCCTATTTCTTTACAAGGAAGCGAATTATATGAAAATTTGAAAACGGGAGCATCATACAACTATATAATATTTATCAAATCCGAACAGATGAACGAATTATTCAAAGTGCTAAAACGTTCACTCTACTAAATGCTCTGCACAGTAGTCAATTTATGCATAATTGTGCCATCGAAAATTGGTACGATCTCAGTTGTCTGAGGGAGATGAGGTGAATGCCGACATGCGCATTCAATGACTGGGAAAATTATTTTAAAAACAGGCGTTACTGAAATACATACAGTAATAATGTAGCAACAATAAACTGTTTTAATGGGACGCCAAGACGATGTCGGTCGAATGCATTATGATTTATAGTGGTATACTGATCCAGGTTTCGCTGAAAGGCCTCGACGGATGTGGACATGAGGATGTCCTCTGGCAACATCCCAAGGACGAAGAAACTCCGTGGGTCCAGCCTGGTGCCAGTTTGAATGGATGGCTTTGGAGT